TTCAGAGTGACCCATCTATAAGATGGAAAACAAGTGCTTTCATCCAGCATCTGAGATCAAAGTTGTGGGTCTTCACTCTTCTAAGTCTAAGGGGTGCAAGCTGCCCGCATCCTCACTAAGAGAACGCACGGCGTGCATGACAGGGAGAGGAGGAAGCACAGAGCGTAACCATCTGTGCTCTTGCTAAGCCCTGCTGTCCCACAGGACGTGGCCTCGGTCTGCAGTGGGTGAAGGAGGATGGAGGTGATGATGGTGAGGAGGGTGAAACCACAACAGACAGGGAAACCGAGTCGCCAGCCTGGCCACACACCCTCATTTCATCAATGAGCAATCAGATAGCATACTTCCATTTGAAAACATTATACATCTCAAATGTAATTAAGAAATTTAGACTGGCATGAATATGTAATGTACACATTGCTCTGCAGATGCCTTTCCCGTCCGACAGGCTGGTGCCGACTTTAATTTGGAAGAAATCCATTTTCATACAAAGGTAACCAAGAGTGACAGGAAATAGGAAGCCTACATCATTTATCTTCTGTGAACTTAGAAAAAAAATCAGTTAATTGCTTTTCTAGGAAGCTATTTTGTGGAATCATGGTGCTTTATCTTTCTGCTCTTATTCATGGTATAAATGGTGATTTTAAAATGCCCGTCATGAATATGCTGATTAATCAATACACCTTAAACTATTTACTTATTTTAACAAATGAAATTCTGATCAACCAAAAACGGTTTCTCTGTTCTTGTGGATGAACCACTGTGTATCAACCACTATGAAAACTCCTCATATACATACGGTCTATTAATTGATATTCAAATTCAGGTGTCTCTTTCCTTATCACTGACTCAGCTAAGAGCAGCAGGCCCTGCTTTCCTTCCTTCCTTCCCTGGCTTTTCAGATCTGTTCTATTCTCAGCCATCAGAGCCCTTCTGCAAGGGCGGCCTTAAATCATTGCTACTCATTAAATTAATAACAAACAGAAACTAAAATGTGTATGTTTTGGAGTGCCACTGAAGCTGAAACTTCCAAATAAACTAACTTCATGGCCCGTGAGGCCCATATTCCCATATTTTATCTCAACAGCACTGCATATTAGGCCTGTTTTATAGGATTGTCCCATTTCCGCCTTCCTATATCACCTAGCATATACATATGTATTTTTAAATTCTACCAAGTTTGAGGCCAATATAAAGCACTCTTTTCAAATCTAAAATTATCATTTTAATAACAATTTCTTATTATTCCATGAGCCAAGGATAGATACAGCAGGAAGCTAATGACGCATAAGCACCAGGGCCTCTTAAGCAAAGATTCCTCCAAGGCCCCAGGAGGGGCTCTAGCAATGAGTTAATACTTGTTTTTGCAAAAATTTCAAGTATAAGGTAATTTTCTACTCCTTTTTTTCCTGAAGAAAACCCCGAAGACAGTATACATTTTAGGTCCCACAAAACTTGTATCTGCCCCACTAGGTTAATAGACTCCAGTGTCTGGATCTTGAATTACATGTTAAGGGCAAAACATTTATTTTGTGTGTGTATGTGAAAGAAAAAATAATTTGCTTCAACTGGAAATAAGATTTAGTGTGCCCTACCCTAGAATGTTCTAGAATGCATCTGCAGTCATTTCTTACGTCCCTGTCTCTTCTCTCACCTAACACTAGTCACCCTTCCAAGTGACACTCCAGGGAAGGCCCACTTAATGAGGGATGGCATCAAGAATAAAAAAGTCAGCTATAACAACAAAAATATGTTTTTCATTAAACACAAAACTGAGCTGGGGAAAACCAGCCAAGAGACAGGTGTATCAGTTAAAGAAATCCCTTGAGGTCTTTAACTTCCACATCAAATTGCACTGAATTTTTCCACACTAATTACCTATTATTTAAGACTAAAGAATTATAACAAATAATTCACCACAGCAGCAGATAGAGTGCAGATGTTGTAAGAAAAAGAATGAAGAATTTATGAAGTATAAAATCAGGCAAAAGAAATTCACAAATTCTCAATTTTTTAAAACAACACAAGATTCTTCTACTATAAGGATTATGAAGGTGAGGAAATTTTCTAGAACTAGAAGGCCAATTTTAAATTTAGTTTGGACTGTACGTGAGAGAAATTGCAAATTAAAAGCTAAGTGCTGGAGTTTAATATATTCAATTCATGTAAATTTCCTGCAGGCAGAGATCACATCTCAAATTTTTTTTTAATTTCTCCTATTGCATTATACCTAGTCATTGATTTGATTTCTTATGAGGACTGTACCTACACAATGCTATTCAGCTATATTTGCATCTCCCTTGTCTTTACGTCATTTTTACCTAACACTTCCTTTTAGCCCCCAAATCCTTCACACTGGCATAAGTCTTGCTCTATAGCTAACGTCCTGGGAAACTATAGTCAAGTCATGAAAAAGTTCCCTTTCAGTCACAGCCTCTGTAAATTTCCCTTAAAAATGCATTCCCTACCTTATTGGAAATTAATGTTAGTACTATCAAGAGGACATTTTCATCTAGGTACTATCTGTGTAAAAACAAAATTGGCATTAATATTTCTTAATTATTTGTCATGTTTGTTTTATTCTCTCCAAAAAATAAAAGCAAATGTTTCCTCAAAAAGCAAAATCTGATTAGCTGATAAAATTCTTCAGTTTCTATGCTACGATTGTGCATTTTATAGGGATGCCCTATAAACACTGAGTGATATACCTGCAAAAGGTATTTTTGAATCTCTTGGGAGTACTGTAAAACAAACAAGCAAACAAAAAAACTCTTTGAGTCTGAAGGATAGGAAATGTAACTTATAGATACTACCCTGCTGCTAATTGGGAAAGAGTCATTTTCTTATTATAATAGACTGGAGTGCAACACACAAGTGCTGCACAATTCAATTACCATATTTTCCATAATACACAGTTTTTTGCTAAAATAAGGACCATATTATCTCCCCTACAAAAACAAAAACAAAAAAAACAAAACAAAAAACCCCCACAAAAACAAAAACAAACAAAAAAACCGAATCCACCAATTAAAACTTTGTTCTGTGAACAACACTTCTTACCTCTTTTCTATCAATGCATGATTGGCCTCTTTAAAGTATTCACTATAAAATGTTAGGAAGGGAGCAAGCGAACAGGCTCAATGTCATTACATGGGGGAAATGAAACACTTCCTGTATAAAAGCTCTAATTTTTCTTGGTATGACTTTCTATCTCAGGCATTTCTCTCTTTCTGTGATTACCGAACCATAATACAATGTGTCATTCCCAATCTGGGGTCTTGGAAGGGCGTCCTGAAAGTGTCCACATTATTAATGACATACCCAAAAGCCTAATGAAAACCGTATAGTTATCTGCATAAGGCTGTACTGGCTATCAAAAATGGGCTTTTAACCAGGGCTTTATCAACTCATTGGGTTACAAAGTAAATAAATAAATTACTACCTAATAAATTTGAAGTTTCTCTGGCACATAAAAATCATTTTAACAAAGAATCAATTGGGATTAAAATTATAACGGATTCCTGGCAGTTACAGTCACCTCTGTTCAAGGATAAGCCATGTTTTATTTGCCAGGTCATTTGATGATGATAACACAAATCAAAGGGCTTGATAAATTCAGTTTATAAGGTGATATTCATATGTGTTTCCTACAAACTTTCCAAAACATAAATGCTTACAGAAGTTATATACTGCTTCTATTAATTCCTAAGAATACTTTATGGGATCCATCATAAACGAAAAATCAAAAGGAGTTACTGTTGTACATGTCACTTAATTTCCTCATTAGAACCTGTGTAAACATCTCGGAATTAAAAAAATATATCTTCTCTAAGGGCACTATGTTGATCTCCCAATTGGTGCACGGTGCTTTCTGAGGTGAGAGCTCAGCTAAGAAATGATTAAGTTCAGCCTTGTCAGACTCCCAACAAGAAACATCAAATCATTTTGTGTTTTATTTGGTCATTAAATCAAATTAAGATACAAAGAATATGCTAGCCACAATGTTATTCCATCTTTAAAACCGAATATGTCAAAAAGAAAAAAGAAACTGAATAGTTCATAAGTCCAGTGCTCTAGAATTCACATTTTATGTTAGTATATCACATCACAGCAAAACAAAAAAAATGTGCATGCATACTTTTTTGTGTGTTCTTGACAAGTGTCATCAATTTGGAATATAGGATGAAATGTGTTTCTCTAAAACAAGACTTCATTTTCTACCCAGATTTACTATTCAAGTAGACTAGACTCTTTGCTACCTCCATGATTATGTGATTTGCCTTTCTGAGTTCTCATATTCCACACATCTAGTCTACACATTTTGTAATGCAATAAATAAATACTTCAGATTAAATTCAAGATGCAAACCAGAAGAATCTGAACTAAAAGATTTCACTCTCTTCATAACCTTAAGATCATTTTCACAGGACAAGGAGAGTCCTTACTTGATTAACATCAATTAACCTGGATTTTAAGTATTATAATATGGATGGGACATCTGATACATTTGAATATTCACCATATTCAATATTCAGTCATTTAATAATTACTTTAAAAATCATTATAAAATTTCCTTTATGTTTTGGAACATTTCAAAATTGGCAAAAATGTTGAACTTCTGAACTCTTTTACATAAAAATTAACCTCTTTATATATGGCCCTTACAATGCTTTTATTTCTAATATATACTATCCATGTCGACACTGACTCATTCATAAAAAAAATCCCTTGAACTATATTGAAGGAAACATTCCTTCCCGAATGAACATAGACACATAACTGCATATGTTGGAACTTAAAAAAAAATGATGATAATCAATTTGAGATTTTAAGAAATTATTATTTACTTGTATATCCTCCTTTAGCGATTGCTACAAATCCTACCACACAAAGTTGTTCACACACTGACAAAAAAGAAACATGGGCATTGAATTTATAACTGTCAAGTCATCACTGAGATCAACTCAGATGTATGTAGGTGGCACTGAGAAAGGACTCACCTCTCCTTGTTTGGGGATGCTGAACTTGGAAAGCTTGGCCTTGGCTCTGGCGGACTCTGGCTTGGTGGTCGGGACTCCCCTGTATGATGTGCAGTGCACACTGGTTTCTGTGGATGACTTAAGCTTTGGAGACTCATCAGGAGCCTGATCTTGGCCGTCCATCGGCCGCACGTATGCAGTTGGTTTCTGCTGGACCAGGCTGGGTTTTGAAGCCAGGGATGGAGGAAAGTTCTGAACACAGTGTCCGCTGCCGCTGTGCTTGGCTGCCATAGCAGGTGGCCTTTCCTGGGTCTGAAGACCCACCTCTACATTGCACACTTGTTTGGCTCGTGGCTGCTGTCTGCCAACACCATCTCCAAGCAAGGTCCTGAGAGAGCCTTGTTGTGCTGAGTTGGAAGAAGAAGAAGAAGAAGAAGAAGAAGAAGAAGAGGAAGAAGAAGAGGAAGATGAGGATGAGGGGCTCGACACAGACTGGTTAGGTTTTTTATTATGGTTCTTTGGGTTAGCAGATCTGTTCAAATCAAGCAACCTGTGTCCGTGCTTACTTGCTCTCTGTTGGCCATCCGATGGCGGGTGCCCAGGCTTCTGCCAGCCCATGGTGCCCCTCTTACTCTGCTGTGCGGGGACAGTGGCTGGTGTGGAAGAAGCAGTGCTACAGACAGACGAGGGCTGGGTCTGGGCTCTTGAATCTGCAACAAAATGTTCATCGATCTTGTTCACAGGAGCCTGAGGAACCCCAGGTTTGGGAACGCCAACGAGATGACTCTGATTAGACCTATCAGTTAAAAAGTCTTTCATTTCATCGTAATTGCCTAAAGTATTCTGGATCCGGTTGGAGAGCTCATCCCCCTTGTTCGTCTGGAGAAAGAAGAACACAACAAGCACCCTGTCATTAGAGAGAAGAAAAACACGGGAGACAATGGAGAGGTGCCTCGCTGGCTCACAGAGTCAGGGTTGTCACATTCAGAATGAGAGCTGGGAGATGAAATCAGAATTGTCATCTCTGAAGTCCATCCACCCTGCATCGCACCAGGACCAGGAAGCTGTTAAGAGCCTCAGACTACATCAAACGGGAATCTATCCTCGGTGGGGTGATGCAGCTACGGAAATCAGAAAATATACCACTGTAGCTTCACAAAACCATCGGGATTGAGGCTTTCCAGGATTAGGGTTTCTTCTCTTTTTGGAAGAAACTCTGGAAGCTTTTCTTAAAAATTCAAATTTGGCTCAAATTGTTCTGCTGCCAGTTTCTAAATATATAGTGATTCTTGTCAGAAACCCAGAGTGACAGGCAGAAGAAGTCAGCATACAGCTTAAAATGAACACGGGGCTCAATGTGCAAGGAGACACCAGCCTAAACTACCCATGGTTCCATGCAGGCCTTAGACATTAGCGAAATCTCAGAAGGTCTTTCATTTTGGAAGACAGCTTGTATCTCTGGCCTTTGGTGTAAATGAGAAACAATCCAGCAGTTTTTTTCTCATTACCCTATCAGGTAGCCTGACCGCAGTATGACCCACGTGTGGCAAATAGGATACCCAACCTCTTTTTATTTCTGAATAGCTTAGGGGAAAAAAAAAAAACATTACAAGTGGCATTGACTTTGAAAATCAATGCAGAATTGAAGTCTATACTATGGATAAAAATCACAGCAAGCAGCTCTCATTATTAAGCACAAGTTACATTTTACTGAGGGAACAGGCAGTTGAGTCGTGTGAACTGGACACCAATATTTGTGGGAGAAGACCTCATTCTGAATGGCTGAGCTGTCTTCCTGGGCTGAACAGGCAGAAAAGCAGCTGAAGTTTGGTTGGTTAACTCTTCCAGGAGAGACTGTCATCACAGGGGGAGAGGTACAAGTGAGGGAGAAGACGAACAACTGAAAACCATCTACCTTGTAGGGTTCACTGAAGAGGGAGTAACTCGAATTAAATGTGCCATCATCCTGCTGAGTTTCCTGATTTCTTCTTTCTCGCTCTTTCCTCCGTAGCACATTTCTATCTGGTTCATAGACACTGCATCAGGAGAAAGAAAAGAGAACAACCACATAGGAAAAAGTTAAAGGCTAAAGCCCAGTGGAACATTCACCTGAGTGCAGAAGTCTGGTTCATGGACGAATGGCCGTGATAAGGAGAACAAGGATCAGATTAGAGCCAGTCTAATCAAGTAGTAGGAGCTTGTGTGTCTGATAATTACATTCTTCAGGAGGAAAAAAAAATCCTTAGGGCAAGTTCCAACCAGTACTAGACCTCTCTGCCTGATATGTAAGACAGGAAATATCTAAGCAACTTTGACAGGAGAAGACTGAAAGTAATCTTAAGGCAGACTGTAATTACAGCGATGTGTAAATAGAAATTATGAGCCTATTTCCCCTTATGACATAGCCTCTGAGTGTTATATGGGAATGCTCCTGTTCTTGTCTTTCTTTTTTTTTTTCTTTTGCATGGCTGTTTCTGTACTGATTCTTTCATTAACTAGCTCCCTAAAGAGCTGTTAAAACTCCATGCTGCAGTGGTTTTCACAGTTATGAGCCTTCTTCTGATCTCTGTTAATCAGTCAAGTCGTCAAACTACTACTGAATCAATTCTTCCTTCTGATATATTTGACACTATCACTCCTCCTAACTATGAAAAATGTGCCAGGAGGAAGGGGTGCAGGAAACACGGAGAGAGTGGAAATTGAATTATGGTGTGTCATCAAGGATCTCAGCCTTTTTGTTAAAGAAAATTAATATCTATTCTCCCAAAATACAATTATGAAGTGACCAGACACCAGATAACTGGGAGGACTAAGGGAGAAATAGTGCTCCTTCCCCCTCATAAGGAGAAAATAAAGGGGCTAATTCAACTACTAATAAGGAAGTGACCCATTAACTGAAGGAAGGAAATACACTTGTTTTTTCAGCTCAGTATATAAAGAAATCTGACCTCGGTGGAGAACTGGCAGGTATCTCAGAATGAGCATTGTCTTCATTTCCTAGCAGAAGCATTTGGTTTAAGTGACCTTGTTTTGCTTCGAGCTCCCACCGAGGCTAATGCACAGGTGCCTGAGCTCGGAGCCAGGACAGCTGCCTACTGACTCTGGTTCTCCTGTAACCAGCAACATGATGACGGAGAAGCCACACAATCTCTCCACACCCCCGTGTCTTCATTATAAAACAGGGATGTTTCATGGCGTTGTAAGGTTTAAACGTGAAGGTAATCTACAAAATGGCTTTGGAATAGCTTTAGGTGCCCAAACGCCAATGTACCGCTTTTAAATGTTAATAATGAAAGGAGCTGTGGGTTTACAGAAACGTATGAAAAGAGCGAGATTCTGTTTTGTCCCGTTTTGTTTTAGCTAAACTGCTATCCTGAGTATAAGAGAGAACAGCATGTCATGTAGCTGTAGAGGACACAAATAAAATGATCATAAAATAAATACTGCTTATCCTTCTAGCTCTGCCCGGGTGGACAGAATATACTTTAAATTCACTAAGGGGCAATGCTAAATACGCTTCCAGCAAGGCTGTGAGAACACCTAAGGCATTTCATTTACATTTAAGATTAGGGAATGTTAAAATACCCAGAACATGTCACCAATTAGCATTTTAATTCATCTTTAGTACGTTACCCAAAGTTATTAGATTGGGGAATCCAACCAGTGACCTTCACATAAACGGAGGCTACAGCCACAGCCTTACCAGCTGAGAGGCTCGCAGCTCCGACATCGCCATCACTAAGAACTCTTTGGGCGCTACGGTGATAGTGACTGGCAGAAGGGAGGCATAAGATGAAAATGACACTCTTATTCACAGAACCAGGCTTCCAGTTCAAAGAAGAGGCTATGATTGTCCTGCCCTGCTTGTGGACATTTGCAATATGAAACCCCAGCTTTCATGAACATTCCATGGATTTCAAATGGGGACTACTCTGACAACACACGACTCATGCTGTGGATGGGCATGAAGTGAGCTTTAACAAAGAAGTAAATTGGAGTTTTACTATGAACCTGCTCACTTTGGGACCAATACCAGCATCCGCAGTAAGAAAAATAAGCTTGCATTGCATGCACTGCACTTCTTCCCCTCTCCGGCACGTACGGACATCTGGGAAGCACCTACTGTGCAGAACTCCATGCACAGAGACTTCTACAAACATGCTCGCTGACCTCAGGCAGATCAAACCAACACACACACAAGACAGGTGTGATGCATGAAGTGGCCTTATGTGACATGGAGCAGGCAGGTGGTCATTTAGGATGATTTCAGGGCTTCTGAGAGGCCCCCATGCCCAAAATAATACCTCCTGCATCGGCTGGCTGATGATTGAAATTCCACAACTAGAGAGTCATTCCTCTGGTTTAAGATGTCTTCACCCCTGTAAGAAATGTAGACACCACAAGAAGGGGAAACACTTTAACCTGACCAGCCCTTGGTATCTGAACGTGCATGAGCTTGTCAGCATTTCTGCCAAAGGCCAAGGGGAAAGGGCACAGGACATCAGGGTCCAAACAGGAGGTGTAACACAAAAGGGAGGGACGATATAGAGTATAGCAATGAAAACAAATTTATAAACTCTACCTACTTTGCCCCATGGGTTTAGCATTAGGCTAAAAGCCATAATCAATTAGGCAGCTATCAGACTTGCTACATTTTCAGGGTCAGGGAGTAAGAATCACTTCAAAATACGGGGAAGCTGGAGGGGAGAGGCAAGCTGCTCCTCTTTAACTAAAGCTGCCTCATTCCCCAATCCATTTAAAGATAACCAAAAGCATTCCAAGACACACACCCCTGCTGCTAAAGTTCTCTAACGAGGCTCTGCCTGCACACCCAGCTTATGCCTTCTCATATTAAGAAGGACTGAACACCCTCAGGACCACCCACACATAGCCTGCTAATAGAAATGCACTGACCATCTTTTATGGGACTGCCATGATGCTTGTGCCTGCAATACCCTCCATGCCACCAGATGAAACCAGAAAGACCAAAAATGACAATCATCCCCACCTTCTCCAGAAGAGAGCAAAGGAAACCCAAAGAGAGAGCCAATACTTCTTCAATGCCTTCCCTTTGGTTTCTCTTCTCCTTCCTTGGAAGACAGCTCTGTTGCCTTCACTGAGCATTCAACTCTTCCTAATGGTGACCCACCTGCCTCCTTCTCCTTCACTAGAACCACAACCCCCACCTGTCATGTCAGGCCTTGGAAACTAAAATGTTATCTGCTTAAAGCAAATGTCACTGTAGAGAAAGTCTGAACTTGCCACCCGCCATCTTTCTCTAAGTGTCTGAACTCTTATCTTTTCTACCAACACTAAATGTTTTAATTCATAAAGACAGTATCTTCCCAACAGTGAGTCCACCATTCCACTAATTACCAGGGAAATCTGTGCAGGTACTTACAATTCCAGAGAGTGCCTTTCTCTTGATCTCTCACCATTAAAACTCAGTCCTCTTCCCTCCTTTGCCATTCAAGCAATGTAAAGACCATGCCATTTGCTTTAGAAGCAAAGGAACCTTTCCCCTGACATGCTGGAAGTCATGTCAGCTTCCCTGGGGATGGCTGGCTAAAGTTGTAGAGAATTCTGATTCCTGGCATGCCAATATATACGTTAAGACTCAGTAAGAGCCTCGTGTTATGAGTTGTGTTATTTCTTTGTTGTTGTTACTAGCAGATGGTAAAATCTCTATCATCTGTAAAGTTATTCCTTATTTCCATGAAAATTATAAGAATCACACTCCTCAAATGTATGTAACCAAATGTATTTATTTATTTTGTATGAAAGTGAAAGCAGCCAACTGCTACAATATTATTTATTATTTATTGCAGATGCGTAACATTCCCAGGAAATGAACCTTTTTAATCAGCTCCCTTTAAAAGACTTATTTATTTTTAGAATTAAAAAAACAGCCAATGAAAAATGTAGTAAAAACATTTCTGATCATTTCCCTTTATTTGTTTTTAATCTATAAAATGAGGTAAGTGTAGGGTTTAGGCCAAAGCCAATTATGCTGATTAGGTAGAATAGAATTCCAAACATGAAATTATCACCATTTCCAAAATTAATGTATTCTTGATCATATGGTAACAGTATGAAACCAAATAATAGTAATACCTTTGAGTCTGATGGATTCTCCCTTCTACTGAGCTCAAAATACTTCACACATAGGTCCCTAAATTATCCTTACAATGTCCCTTGGAGAAAGACAAGGATGGTGGATATCACTATGGGGCTAACTTTTTTAAAGATCAAGGAACTTAGGATAAGAGTTCAATCATCAAAACAATGTCATAAAGAAGCCATCATATAGAAGGGACAGCAATGTCAATCCATGGAAGAGGAGCACCCGGGAGCGAAAGGTGGGCACACTTCCTAAACCCTGATGTCTACAAGCCCGCACTACCAATAAACAGTGAATGTGACCCTCACAAAAGCAAAATAGGACAAATGAGACATAGGGAAGCTACTTTGCATTCAGAGAGAACTAAAAGGAAAATTCTGGAATAAAGGCTGGGTTGTTAAAATTGTTTGTAAAAGTCCCCCAAAAAAACAAAAGACAAAAATCAATTTCTTTCCACAGTCCACAAGATAAAAGGATATACTTGTAATACAGAAGAGTGGCCTAGAGCACAGATGAGTGAATTTAAAAATTACAGACTCTGAAGTAATAAGCCAGCCTGGGCTGCTGGTATCACCATTTTCATCAAATCCTACCCATCCCTCAGTCTGCTCTCTTTTCTGCCCACGCAGCCCTACTGGGGGGACAGGCGCTGGAGCTGGTGGGGCCGCCCACTCAGCGGAGCCTGGGTTGGACCCAGAAGGCCCGGCTGGCCAGGAGGGGCTGCTTTCTGCCCTCCAGGAGCCATCCACATGCAGCCTGTTTACATCTGAACATTCGCCGAAAACAAACCGCATTTCCCATGGAGGAGGCTTTCAGCCAAAGGTAGATATAGCTAATTGCACCCCTTGACTAGAATCGTCAGTGTTTTCTTCTTTAAAACACACACACACACACACACACACACACACACACACA